GGGTAAAATTTCGAGGCTTTATTTCACGTTTTGATGATTTTATTGAAATTTTTGATGATTCCCCATACATTTCCTTATAACAGGACACCACAGAAACCAAGCTTGGGCTACCTGTGAATATACTAGCTCGAATGTAAGCAAATCATTCATAACTACTTATAGAAATACGTTGTTTATCCTTACTCGTATCTTGAAATAAGTCCGTAAATAATATTCGGATATGTGTGAAGGGGGCCTTAATGTGGCATTCTCTTCAAGTTCCCCCACTCCGGCCCCCTGGGGTAAATCATTCCCTATACGTTTGTACACAGGTAGCCCAAGCTTGGTTTCTGTGGTGTCCTGTTATAAGGAAATGTATGGGGATTCATCAAAAATTTCAATAAAATCATCAAAACGTGAAATAAAGCCTCGAAATTTTACCCTATCATTGAGAAATAGAACTTCTTTCACTCTGCGTGGTTATTTTTTGAATTTAGCCCGTTTTAAGGATTTTTTTCCCCCACCAGTAAGTTTATTTCTTATTGGTGGGGGAAAAAATCCTTAAAACGGGCTAAATTCAAAAAATAACCACGCAGAGCGAAAGAAGTGCTATTTCTCAATGATAGGGTAAAATTTCGAGGCTTTATTTCACGTTTTGATGATGTTATTAAAATTTTTGATGAATCCCCATACATTTCCTTATAACAGGACACCACAGAAACCAAGCTTGGGCTACCTGTGGTTTGTATGTAAAAATGTTAAATAAATTTAGCGGGGGAGGGGTAGTTGGGGTAAAATGGGTACCAATGATCTCAGAAGCAATCGATTATTTTGCGAGCAATGTCATAGAACACAGTTGGTTGCACGCAATGTCGATGAAGTAAATAACCTGATCCTAATTCACGAACAGTCCCTGCAAAATTGACGCACTATAGAGAAACAAGATGAAATGATACAAGAAAATCAGATGATTCCAGAAAAAATGCATTTGAAGGCTTATATTCACGATGCATAAGAGAGTTCAGTTGAAAAGATATAAACAAATAGAGAACTAGAAAAACAGGAAATGGTCTTCACAATTTGTCCTTTCTACTCCATTCCCCCTACCGAGGAAATTAAAATATTTGGCAACGAAACAACATCATTTTAGTTTAGCCACTTTTACTTTTCCCTTTCTTTTCTTGCTAACTTCTCTCTCTTTCTTAATCTATTCCTCTTTTCAGTAGTCCTTTCTGTATTTTCTTCTTCATTTTTGTAGTTGTTTGCTTAGGAGAATAGTTTCTAGAACCGAACTAAATACGTATAAGGACGCATGGATTGTTTTACTGAAACAAAGGATTCCAACAGAGATAAAAGCTCTTTGACTACGGTATTTTGTTATTTGGCTTTAATCTTGCTCATGGATCAATTAAGAGCTTGAGTGGCTGTAAACAGAATAGGAATGAAGGAATTCTTTACTATAAATCACACAAATGACGACAAAAATCAAAATGGTTGCTATAGTAAGGTTTCTAGTAGACTCACACGAACACAAACTTCGTAAAAACTATAAAAACCACGAAATCAATCAGATTGCTTGAACTAAAAGATGTCAAAAATCCCAAAAGTGCATAACCACTACCAAATATTGATAATCTTTTCATGGGCTAATGGAGTTCTATACATAGAAATCGTCGAAATATTCCTAGCAAAATATAAAGCATGGATTCTCTTCTAATCCCTTCTCCTTTCTAAAACGTTGACAACAATTTATTCACCTCATGTTACTTGTATAACTTTAAATTTACGTAAATGAAAAACTAGTTGAACTTGACCAAAATTTTGATGTTTCGATAGCTGTACTTCAAACTCTCAATTTTTACTTTTCCTGACGAGACTATCGGTAAAAGTCGAAGGAACGTACGTGCTTGTTTGAACAATTCTATACTATACAATATTATTCTTTTGTACTTTTAGTTATTATATTTCTAGGAATTATAGCCAGAAAACACAGAATTTATTTTTGAAACGCTTTTTTTATTATTCACACAATTTGCATATTTACAATTTTACATATGACACAATATAATACTTGGTTTTTTTTCAAACAAAGTTATTCGACTTTTTTATCTCTAGTTGGATAAGTCTTTAACTTCTTAGGAAATAAAGATAATTCAGCTCAAGAAACCGCAGTTTCTTGTTTTGACTCGACTTTTTTTTGTTTACATTGTGATGATACTTCTACGTGCTCCATCGAGTCCACTTTCAAAACACTTAAGTTTTGGAAGAAAAACATCTGAAATAATAATGAATCTCTTAGACTTTGCATCAACTTTTTGTTTCCTGAATAAAGAAACCATTTCAATGTCCTAAAAGTTTATGAATTAATAACTTAAGCCACATTTACAAATTTTTACAAAAGTCCAATACTTCAGTTTTCGGATTAAATTTTTTCGCTGCATTCCAATATTCTAGTGCATGTTCAAAGACTTCTAGTTCAAGTTCGTCATAAGTCGTTAGAAAATTTCTTTGTTTATAAGCTTTCCATTTTATCGGCTTGTCCATCGAGGTAAGATATATCGGTCTTACATAAGTTGCTTCCGTAATGACGTCGACATGCACCATCAACTACTGTGTTCATCACCACGTAATTTTGTCATTGCCCAAAATACATGCTTAACTTGCTGAAAAAAGGCAGCGTAGAAGCCTCAATCAGAGGCTTCCAATTGTCAGACAAATTTTCACCCTATTTTCAGCTGTCTAATGAACTCGTACAGATTTCTTTCTATGCCATCCTCCGAAAACATCGGTAATCTTCCCCAACCACGGCGTCTGTTTGTTAATGTCATTCACTTCAAGGCATTTTTTCGCAGAGTTTGTTTCATTGTTATTTTCTGGTTCAGTGTTGGTTGTTGTACTGTAAGCTTTGCTAAACGCTGCAGTAACAGCTCTTACAAAGTCCTGTGCTTCAGAAAATGAGTCCAGGTACAACGCATGACATTCTATGAGCATAGGATCCTTCGTAGACAAGTAATTAAATACTACGACTTTGGGAATTTTCTTGTACGTGGCACAGAAAAGAGTACTTTTGATATAGTAAGTTGTAATCAAGCCATTTTTTTCTTCAATCGCAATGCACTTTGGAGATACTTTGACTACGAAGCTGTCTTTCTTTTCCATGTCATAACAACCTTTCTGATAAAGTCGAGCTGCATTCTCTAGTGTTCCAACTTTTGGGGCATAAGCTTCTAGGCGGCCTAGATACTTTGCCTTGCATTCAAATTCTGGTGCGCTTGGCATCTTTAGCTCCTGATAACGGCGGAATCGATTCTTCTTGTTTTGATCGAACTTTGTTTGTCAAGGTTGGTAATTCAAATGACTCCTGCAAAGGTATCCTAGCGTTATTATATCACTTGTGTCTGCTAGAACGATCTTTGAGTTTGCGCCGCCAGCTGTGAAATGGTCCGTGAACCAACCAATGGGTGCACAGGAAAATAAACTTATTTCCTCTGACCCGTAAAACTCAAATAAATTGCTTTCAAAATCTGTCATTCCTATTTCCAGACGTTTCCACAAAAGATTCAAATTCGTACCAAATTTTTATGTATACGTAACACACGTAACACAAGGACTGGATGAAAATACTAGAATATTTGTTAGAATTTGTTTATTATTATTCGCTATTTTAAGACTTAAACCGTTTTTCAAAATACACGTATGTTTTTCGTTATTTTCTTAAATATATTTTGTGATTATGATATATCTATTTCGCAACCAGCTTTTACGTATTGTACTTCGTGACCAATTGCAAGGTCGTCTTCCGATAAATCACTCTGTCACTCGGATAGTCATGTCCTCACTCCTATATCAATCTCGTAAACGTGTTTGAAATCTTCATTATCATTCTCCAAGCTTCCTTGAATATTATCGAGACACGCTTTATTTGTAAGATATTTTGTAAATTTGCGTTCTATAATAATCTCTTTTCCACATAGACTGTTTGCAAAAGAAAATCTCACAGAATATTTACTCTCGAGCCGAAGCATGAGGTTGTAATAAACACTCTAACGCTTTCTCTTTTTTATTATGGCTACCAAAAACTTGCAATAAAAAACAAGTTAAATAGCTCAAAGGCCCTTGAAATAACCAAAATTAAAGTCAAAAATTATTTTCATGTGATCATATGCCCCGATTTTCGCGCTCCAGGTTTTTATTTTTACACAATTTTTTGCGTTTTTATTAATGATAAAATGAAAATTTGTCCCGTTATTCTAGCTTTTCACCCGGCAGGGATGAACGTAATAAGTACGCAAATTTTCAATATTAATCACTTGTTGTGTCTGGTTTCCATGTGAGTCAAAGAATTGCCAAGATCTTTGTAATTGGCTCTGTCGTTTATGACAAATGGGAACAAAAATTGTTAGTTTCCAGGCGACACATAAGAGCTCTCTTTCAAAATGTTGACATTAAAGCCGCTTCGCCAATATTTCTCTGGGCGCTCCGAGCCTTCGAATAAAGCAAAATTTCCTCGGAATAAATTATAAATTTCTTTGGGCACCAAGAACAAGCAGAGAAACTGTTTGAAGAAAAAAATTGTTGTGTTGGAATGACTTTAAACAAATACAAATACAAATAAATTCTTAAATATCTTTCTGTGCTTTCAATTTGAAAAATGCTTAGCTACCAAAAAAGTAGGATTTTGAAAAACATTTCTAGGCTTTTTATGGACACAGAAAAGCAACCAAAAACTTCAGAATTCATATTAGTAATATGACTAGTGAGTTTTTACACGATTACTTTCTAGGTTTGTTTGTGAATCATTCACTATGAAAGTATTGTGGTATTATTTTGTAACTTAAAAGGCGTTTTATTTCCTTTTGTGGTCTGTTGAAATTCCATTCTTTCTGGTCTACGTGATCCTATTCGAGAGAATTTTCGTTCCTCTGAACTTTTTCACCTTATCAAACTTATTAGTATTAATTTAGGCTTTAGTTTCATGACAACATATTATCACGTAAGAAAATCATATCTTAACAGGGAACCATCTTACAATGTAAAGGGCTCGTCACATATTTTGTTTGAGTTTCATAGCTTCCTGTTGCTTCATTTCTCTGGCTCCTCTTCCTTTTCTTTGTTGTTGGATCATAAGTTCGTGCATGCGTGCAGCTCGTTTTTCATTCACTGTTTTCATACATACATACATTCATTCGTTTGTCCTTTTTGTCTTCTTATTTTCTGCTTAACTCTCCTGTTTTCCCTTCTTCTTTTATATTTTTCTTGTCACGGTGCATGTATGGCACCTATTTTCAAAAACGTACGTTGTCATGCATCGCCAAAGCGAATAGGCGAAAGCCGATATGCGAAACGGCGATAGGAGATAGGTCATTCCAAGATCCAAGAATATAGCTGGAATGACTTGTGTTTCTGCTTCTTATTCTCGTCAAGAACATGGACTTTAGTGATGAGACTGATTCAATGTTCTTTGTATTCAACGAAACCATTTCAATGTCGGAGTATTCAACGAAACCATTTCAATGTCGGAGTATTCAACGAAACCATTTCAATGTCGGAGTATTCAACGAAACCATTTCAATGTCGGAATGACCTATCCCTTATCGCCTTTGGCGATGACGACGTTAATTGAAATAGGTGTATACATAGAGTCAGTGCTTATCGTTAATTTTGGGAGTGCGCCCACGCGTTTCTACGATCGGATACGTCGTTATCTTAAAATTCAGACTAGAAGATTGCGAGGCTCAAACTCGGTATGGTACTTCTAGTTCATGTAAATATAGTGCTAGCACATATCAACAAATATGTGTTTTTTGGTAGGAATAAAACAATGTACCATATAAAAGGTCTGCTAGAAAAGCTAGTTCAATTAGTTGACTACGCAACAACGTTATAACCCAATCTACAGCAAAAATCTACTCATCCTTTGAGGTTTAATGCAATTTTGAACATTTTCTTCAGGAGAGCTTCGGCATCGTGCTAGGATCTTAATACTTGGAACGAGGCGTATTCGTAATTTTCTTTCATTGATATCATCTTCTGTGGCAACCAAAAATGGTTATAAACTCACATGGCATTCCACTCAAGTCAGAGTTAAATATAGAAACGAAAGGAACAAAAGTAAAGTGTTTGGAATTGCGATCTTAGAAAGTTAACCAATCAAAACTGATTACTCGAAAACGTGATCCAATATTTACTACTGATAGAGAGACATTATGTATTGAGCAAAATTTAAAATCAATGAAACAGTCCACTATCATAGTTACTTTATTTGAGAAAGAGAATGCTGTAGAAAAAAAAATAACATTTATGTCAAAACATTCTGTAAGTTTATTTAGACTAAAGTTTAACTAACGTCCGGGCCCTGCATCGCGACGCACTAGTTTGCAAAAGAAAAGACAGGAGATATTGGTTTTGGACTAATAGGGCAGTGGCAAGTTTAATAGTCAATAAACATGTATAATAGGTAGGGCTAGTGCTATCAGCATAATGTTCTGTTATAAACACAGCGACTTTTATCCTTATTAGTGCATCAAGGGATATGATGGTTCCACGGAACCCCCCAGCTTTGTGAAGCTGATCGCACCATATATTTCACCTACGTAGAGGCCTTTTGGAACCCCTTTTTAAAATCCTGGATCTGCCACTCATACTTAGTAATCAAAAATCTTTTTTCTCTGCAACTTTTTGTACAACTGTAAACAAGTATCCAGATACTTCACAATCAAGTGTTTTCATTTCTGCAAAGTCTTCAAGCATGGCCAAAGCCTGTATTCGCCTTTAGAATTCGAAACCAGCTAACCATCTTTTATACAAAAATAGCCTTTCCGTAATGCTTTATATTACGCACCATTGTCGTCAGTGCCATCGAACATGCGCATTGTCACGTGACTGTCAGCACCCGACCCTCAGGGCACATCGGTGATACAAATATCCGTATATATGTTTGCATGGCCAAAACGTGCTTAAATTGTATACTAAACTATTTCAAATGTATTAATGTTTATAAGTTCTTAATTAAAGCAGATTAAAAACCAAACCAAATTATTCAACAGTGTATCGATAGTGAACGCGTAGTCGAGTTGTCTAGCGTTCTTGTGTTTATGTTCGTTCATCTGCAAAGTCCGCTCCAAAGAGTGAGACAAACCGCCCTCCCAAATCAAAATAGATTGTTGCGTAAATTGTTTTGAACGAGGTTAACGAGATAAGATCCTGCAAGACATTTTGGATTATCAATTAATACCAACTACTATCGACATTAGTTTCTGCTCGGTTTATATTCAAAGTCGGGCTTCACTGCACTTTGTGAAACGAAACGAAAAGAAATGAACATTTAGCAAAGATTTGTAGAAAGCAGAAAGCCGCCTCAAAGTCCGGGGGACGGG